GCTGCCCATTGAAGGGGGGCTTTCAGATTTGCCGCTGCTGCAGGGAGGTGTAGAGACACTTGATGCTTCTGTCTTGAAAGTGCAGCAGCACTTCGGGGGTTTCGAAGCAGCAACAGAACCCCTCAGTCCCCGCCGCCTGGCGAGTCCCCCAAACCCTAAACCCTAAACCCTAAACCCTAAACCCTCCGACCAGCGGCAGCGCGCAGGCCTCTTGGGGCCTGCTGCTGCTGCTGCTTCCGCAGCAGCGCGTGGGAAGAAGCGACGAGCCTAGCGTCTAGAGCCTGTGGCTTAGGGTTTAGGGTTTAGGGTTTAGGGTTTAGGGTTTAGGGTTTAGGGTTTGGGCGCAGGACATGGCGATGGAGCAGTACATTGACGAAGTGCTGAAGCGCGAAGGCCCCAGGGGTTTGATGCTGGCGGGGGCTGTGGCGCCTCCCACGGAGAACTTGCCCAAAACCCTAGACAAGCGTGTAGGGTTTAGGGTTTAGGGTTTAGGGTTTAGGGTTTAGGGTTTGGGGTTTGGGGTTCTGGGGGTGGGCTGCGGCGACGGCGGCGGCCCTGGCGCTGCGATTCCTGAAAGCTGTGTTTTTCGTGCAGAGCTAGCATGTGCCGAGGGTTTAGGGTTTAGGGTTTAGGGTTTAGGGTTTAGGGTTTAGGGTTTAGGGTTTGTCCCATCTCCTCGAAGTGCGCCTCCCCCGCGCCTTCCTCGCCGCGCGCCTTCCCCTCTCCGCGCGTGGGGCCGAGGCCGTCCCTAGGGCTTCGGGCTTAGGGTTTAGGGTTTAGGGTTTAGGGTTTAGGCTTTAGGGTTTTTGCAGGTGATTCACCGGTTTCTGGGCGTGTGGGCCTTCGACCGCAGCCGCAGCAGCAGCATGTCCCCCATTACTGAGCATTTGGGGGTTCCGTGGTTTATTCGAAGTGCTGTCGAAACCCTAAACCCTAAAATAGAGTATTCTCTCGAAGACAAACACGGAGTTCCCGAGTTCGCCATCACCACCACCCTCACTGCAGGAGTCTCCAAGGCACGAGGGTTTAGGGTTTAGGGTTTAGGGTTTGGGGTTGGCGTTGGGGTTTAGGGTTTGGGGCTTGGGTTTGGGGTTGGGGTTTTGAGCTGCGAACTCGCGGCCCCGACGGAGGGTCTAGCGCGTGACACCTAGGGTT